TGCTGGGACTGATTACTCCCATGGAGATGCTGGCATCTCCATGTATTTCCTCCACATTTTAATGTCTCAAAATCTGAGATAAAATCACACAGCTGGCCTTCTAGGCAGTTTAGAAGATTCCAAAGTCTTGCTTTCTGTATGTGACGCAGATTTACCTCGTGTGTGGCATCCTAAATAACCACAGGCATGGCAGCCTGAGAGTTCCTAGGAGTGTTCCCTGTGGTGATTTCTCTCCTCTGCCTCCCCCAACATTTTCCTTGTAGTTTCTTCTGTACCAATCATACTTCCCAGTCCTGTGCACATGTCCTCAACAGACCTCTGAATGCCTGCTGAGGGTTCTCATCCATCATGGTTTGTTGAGGGGAGTTATTTACTGGCTTTCAAAAATGTCTGGACAATGTTTTTAGGCACAGGGTGGGATTCTTGTGTCTGTGTCCTATGCAGGGCCAGGAGTTGGCCTGTGATTATCCTTATGGATAGCCTTATTATCCTTATGGGCCCCTTGAAAATCAGGATGTTCTAGGATATTATGAAAAGTCTCATTGTGCACTTCCACAAGTTGATGGAAGTTGATGGTTTTTGTCCTCTTCCTGCTCCCTGCCCTGGATACCCAGCAATTCATTAGTGCCAATCTTTCCTGTGGGTCCTGCCTTCTGGAGCAGCTGTGCTCATGGATGTGTGCCTGTCCATTTTTAACAAGTTTATCCCATCCCTGGTGCCCTCAGAAGGAATTGCATCCTTTTCTAGGTCATCTTATGGAGGCACTGCTGACCACACTGCCGGAACGATGTCTGTGCTGAAACTCTGTTTTTTGCTGTCACTATGAATTCTGCAGCCTGCACGTACCTGCTCCTGTCAGGATCCTGCAGAGGAAGGCTTGTAAGGTCTCCAGGTCCTGTGTGATTCCACGATTCCTCAGGGGTGTGGTACACAATGACACGTGGCTGTGCATTACCTGGCTACAACACAAACAGAAACTACTCCTTACCCAGGGGATTTAAGAGTCGCTATCCTTAGAGAGTATTATCACCAGGATACCTCTTAATTTTGTTTTATTTTTGCACAACCATGCGCTGAACACATTTTTTCTAAGGCTTGAAGAGCTTGAAAGTGTCCCTTTCTTTCCTGCAGTGAGTCTGTCCTAATGCAGCAGTGACCTAGGGGAAAGCACATCCAACAAGGCAGTGAAATCTGCAAGTGCACATCTGGGGATGCCAAGGGGGCAATAACATCCAAAATTGCTGGAATAAAATAGGAGGCTGTGGCAGAAAGATGATGCATGCAATTCAATTCAAAGTGCAGTGGAACTACAAAGGAAAATCCAGGAGCAAATAAGATTTTTAAAAGATGCTTATCATAGCAACCTAATCAAGATAATGGGATTACTGAGCAAACCCTTTAAAATCATTCTCACAGATATTACACACCATTTGTCATATCATTAAATGCAATTTGAAAATGGCTGTCAGGTATACAGCAGAGTCTGTGTTCTCTCCCTGTGTGGAATTCTCATACAATTTAAACAGAAAAAAAATAGAAATGCTGCTGTTCAGGACATAGAATTGGACTTAAGGAAGCAGCCACAACCACTGCAGACCCTCAGTACATGATTAAGTGCTTCCCTGCACTGGAGTCTTCATTCTTTAATTCAACTTCACCTTTAATAACATTTGCAAATTCTTTCATCTACTCTGCATCTTTAATAAGAGATGTCGAGTAGTAAAGCAATCACTTTTGACAAGAATTAAAGCATATTTGCTTCAGTTTAGGGTGGTTTAAGGTTACTCATGATGAAAATGAGCAGCATGGAAAGGTTTTGCTTGAAGTTCTTTCTTTTCTTCAAGTTTCCAAGGCACGTCTGTCTTGAAAACGAAGTCACATAACTATGTCATGTCAAGCAACTGTTTTCTAATTCTGCTAGTAGAGACGTGAACATATTTAAGTGAGATAGAAACAATTTGAATTCATGTTGACTGGATGCTTCAATTACTTAATTCACAAAAAATATGAAAAAAGTATAATAAAATTGTGAAAAAAATATTATGTACCCTGATGTAATGAATTTTTTTAAACAGAACATGACACCTAAATGAGATGAAACAGTAGGGGAGAACAACCAATAACCATTGCTACCTTCACTAACTTCTGTGGAGTTGTTATGTGATTTGTATTTTAAGGGGCTGACTAGCAGAGATTTTAACATTTGAGTTGCACTCTTGATGAGTGATTTTAGTGTATGCTGCACTCAGCTGAAATTCTTCCTCACATTTTGGGGTACATCTTAATGCCATAGATTCACTTGAGTTGCCTGCCATCCTCATTCCTTCCTTTTAAAATGGGAAGAGCAAAAAGAACAAGGTGGTCAGATATGTGTGTTTACTTCAGGGTATTAGGTTGTTTTCTCGTGTTTGGTAGAGGACCTGTAATTCCCTATTTCCTGAACCCTGGGAATCTGTTTGGTGGCCTGGGCTGGAGAAGAGAAGGTTGTGTGGACACCTCAGAGCAGCCTTCCAGTGTCTGAGGGGGCTCCAAGGAAGTCAGAGAGGGGCTCTGCATCAGGAACTGGAGTGACAGGACAAAGGGAAATGGCTTCAAATCGAAAGAGGGGAAATTTAGGCCAGGTATTAGGAAGAAATCCTTCCCTGGGAGGGTGGGCAGGCCCTGGCACAGGGTGTCCAGAGCAGCTGGGGCTGCCCCTGGATCCCTGGCAGTGCCCAAGGCCAGGCTGGACACTGGGAGCAGCTGGGACAGTGGGAGGTGTCCCTGCCATGGCTGGGGTGGCACTGGATGATCTTTCAGATCCCTTCCAACCCAAATCCTTCTATGGTTCTGTAATTTAGCATCCTCCAGTCAGCTATTGGATTACTGGATTTTGTTTGCTTGCCTGATGGTAGGAAAGTCAGCCATGACTTTTTTGTTCATGTGTGTTGTGAAAGAGTCTGGAGCCACCAACTGCTCAACTGAGTGGTGTCTAGGAAAAAAAAATAAAAATTTGTAACCCTCTTATTAGCATTATAAATGACTTTACTGGCAGCATCAAATTTGTTTTAGACATCCCAAGGGATATGGAGTGTGCCTGTATGTTATGGGAATAAAGTTTTTGTGTCACCAGCCTTCTTCAAATTCTGTTTGAATTCAATTGTAGTAGTTCTGTGAGCATCTACACACAGAAGGTCATGCTGTTGCTCTAATTAGGGCCTGTCATGTAATTAGCTGCAACTGTTTAGAAATACTGATGTCAAGTCTCTCGTTTGATATGGGAAATTTGTCACTGCTGAATTAACTGTGGGCAGGAGAAGCTATACAAAGGTAACCTCCATATTACTGCTTAAAGAGTGCTTGAGACAATTTTGAGGAAAGCAAATATGCTTAATTACCAAAAAATCAATTACCAAAAGAAGCACCTTGGTGCCCAGCACAGTTTTAACAGGAATGAAATTGTCTTGGTAGAAGAAACCACTTCAAATATGAGAAGATTTTTTATTTTTTTTTTAATGTGAATAGCTATGAAAATAATTTACCTGAACTAATCATTATAGGTCAGGATCAAAATGTGAGATATACTTGAGTATTAAAAAAATAGATTAAATTATTAAAAAAGGAGTAATTTGTGTAAGAGCAGCTCAGGACAGAGGAAGTTGACTAATGTAATACCACAGAATTGCCATTATAGAATGATTGCTGTTAATTTTTTGATTACCCAGTAATAGAACAAGCAGTACAGTGATTAACTGGCTCATAGAAGAATAGGGAGCAGTTAATCTGAAGCAGTGCTGTCATAAAATCCAGAAAAACTCTGAGCTGGATTGCTGCAGATAAGTGGCTGCTGTGGATGCTATGTAGGGCACAGGAACCAGGGCAAAAATGAATGTAGGCCCAGCAGGGATCCAGAGCAAGAGTTAAACAAATAATGCCTGGCCATTATAGTGCATTGTTGTGTCAGAGGTTTGAAAGCCGTTGTGTAACAAGAATCTTTGGACAGCCTTCCACGCCTACTGTTTTAAATCAATCTTTTGTTGCAGAACTGAATGGATTGTATATGCAGAGCTAATTCCTCTGAAAATCTGATTGTTGGGATTTTTTTTGCATCCTGATCGGAGGTGGCGTGACAAAATGAGTAATTCCTACCTGGCCATGGTTTGATAAGCAAGCTGGGGAGAGGAAAGAGAAGAGGTTTATTTTTGCTTTCTTTCACATCACCACAGAATGGTCAGGCTGGAAGGGACCACGGTGGCTTTTTGGTGCCAGCTCCCTGCTCCAGCAGGGCCATCCCAGAGCAGCGGGCACAGGGCTGTGTCCAGAGGGCTCTGCAATATCCCCAGGAGGAGACTCCAGCCCCTCTCTGCTCTCTGCTCAGGGCTGGGCACTGCCCAGGGCACAAGTTGTGCCTCCTGTGCAGGGGGAATTGCTGGGCTCAGCCCCTGCCCGTGGCTCTGGTGCCATTGCTGGGCCTGGAGCAGAGCCTGGGCCTGCTCTGCCCCTCCTGCACCCAGGGACAGCCAGGGATGGACAGGGATGGACAGGGACAGCCAGGGATGGACAGGGATGGACAGGGATGGACAGGGATGGACAGGGACAGCCAGGGATGGACAGGGATGGACAGGGATGGGACAGCCAGGGATGGACAGGGACAACCAGGGATGGACAGGGACACCCAGGGATAGCCAGGGATGGACAGGGATGGACAGGGATGGACAGGAACACCCAGGGACAGCCAGGGATGGACAGGGACAGCCAGGGACAGGCAGGGCTGAGGCCCCTCTCAGCTGGGGCTCCTCTCCAGGCTGAGCAGCCCCAGCTCCCTCAGCCTTTCCTGGGCACGGAGATGCTCCAGGCCCTTCCTCAGCTCCAGGAGCTCCTGTCCCTGCTGTGCTGAGGAGCCAGGGCTGGACACATTACCCCAGACTCTTTTATTTTAAGGAAATACTTTATTTTAAAGAAATATTGTGACCACCAAGAAATTTATTTGATTGTGTTCAAATTAAGAGGACATATATTGGTCATTGCAGCATAGCTGAGAAAGCAGCAGAACTTCTGCATACCAGAGGTATCATTCTGTTGACAGTAAAACATTCTTGGTGTCTGTCATTTGAGACCAACTCGGGGGTGAGAATCACCTGAAACTATAACCTTGCCTGATTTGTGGACTTTGTGTAGCTGTTATTTAGTTTTGGCAGAAGATATTGCCACCTTTCTCCTCCCCATTGCCATCCTCACTGAAAGAGCAGAGATAAATATTCCTCCTCTTGCTGCACATAATAGGACTATAAATCACTCTGCCCCAAATTTCTCCTGAATAATGAACCCCCTGTTAGAAACATCTCTGAAACTCTCACCTCTAAACCCGAATTTTGGGAATACAGAAAAAATACTGGCTGATGGTGACAAGGCAACCAGGATATTGTAGAACACAATTCTCAGTGGCCAAATTCCCCCTGGCTCAGTGACACTAACTTGCAGTAAGGCAAAACTGAAGGGCCCCAGCTGATGGCAGAAGGTGACACTTCAGATGTGCTCACCACATCACACCTGCCTTGCTCTGGCAGCTGCAAGTCTGAGGGAAGGTGCTCTAAATGAGCCTCACGTGGTTTTTAATTCCAGGCAGCACCAAGGGCAGCTTTGAGCACTGTCAGCTTCAGAGGTGTTTTGTGCTGGTTGCTCAGGTGACTGTTAAATACTCAAAAAACTTCTCTGTCTGTACACTCCAAGCTGGTGGCAGCTGTGGGTCTGTTTATCGAGCACTTACACCTGTGTGCACTGGAGATAGAGCCTGCTTGCACAAAACTCTTTCAGAAATAGTGCAGATTTCATATTTACCTTTGCTAATCCGTGTGCTTGGGGGTCATATTGGAAAAGGGGATGAGCAGGTGTTGGTGGGAGCAACACCACTCATGCACAAAGGAACAGCCTGGAAGGTCAACACACCCCGTTTTGAGGTTCGTATTTTGGTGGTATTTACTTTTTATGAGCCTGTATGAAGGCAAGATTAAATAGCTTTGATTTTGAGACTGTAATTTATATAGCTTGGCTCCTATCCCCTTTCTAACACTAAAATTTTCTTTGAAGAGATGATACATTTGTTGTAGATGAAGTCTCTATTAATTTTTCTTTGTTTAAATCAGATTTGTGGAACATGGAGCACTCATTTTATTTCAAAGTGATGCAAAGTATTATGAAATATATACAGTAGCTAAATATTTACCTTTATTAATTGTTTTAAGTAGTACATAAATGAAGAAGGAATTGCTTTTAGCAAACTATTTAAAAAATCTCTGCCTTGCAGCTTTTCTTGTTTATTCTCTAAGACTCTGGACAACTCTTATGTTTTAAAAGTACATTCTCATATTCCCTATTTATTCCAATAAACTGTGATTTCCATCTATAAACACCTTCAGGCCTTATTTTCTTATAGTTGCAAAGTAAAACAGAATAATATTGTAGTAATGGCCAAATTTCATATGCTAAAACAGAACAGTATTTTGAAGCACTAATGGCACCTAAATTTTTCTTAGTTTAATGGAGGAAATTAAAATTAAGATGGAGTTTTATGGAGACAAAACTGTTGAGGAGGCCTTGTGTCAGTGGTGCCTCTTGAGAAGACTGAAATAGGCTTTTGAGCATCCCTGCAAAGACAGAAGGAAAATCAGTGTTCTGCTCCTTCTCTGATCTCCTCTGTTCCCTCAGAATGATTTTGATCCTTCACTGTTCACGATGTTGCACCTTTAAACACCACATGAAATAGTTTTATCACCCAGCTGCCAGTGCCAAGAGTTATAAAACCATTTAAAGTGGTTGGAAGGGACAATACAGATCACCCTGATCCAGCCCTGCTGCCATGGGCAGGAAACCTTCCACTGGATGAGATTGCTCAGAGCTCCATCCAACTTGGGCCAGATTTCTAAAAATGAATAAATTTCTAAAAATAAATAAATTTCTAAAAATAAATAACAATAAATAGTAACAATAAATGATAAACCACGTGATAGGTGCATATAAGCCGCATAGAAAAAGATACTTTTAACGTGTAGTTTAAATACTTCAGCAATATAAAAGAAATAAAAATAAAAATTAAAAATAAAATTAAAATTTAAAAAAAAAACCAGAAAAAAAAACCCAGAAAGAAAATCAGTACAGGATGAAAATTGAGGGTAACACAGAGAACTTGGTGGCCTGGCAGCTGCCCAGTGGGGGAATAGCAAACACACTTTGCAGCAGGAGCAGCACAGAGCACTCTTCAGTAGTGTTTGCTTTACCTTTCCCAGTGTCTGTCAACAGCAGATGTGTTCAGGAAGCTCAGAATCTTGCCTGGAAGGGGAGAAGTGTGACTCAGTGAGTGACAACTGGTTTATAACTTTGAATAATAATTTTAAAAAAGCCATTCCCCCAACAAAAACAGTGTTAGAGGAGAAAAATCAGACTGAGAACAATGTGTCCTTCATTATGAGCTATTTATTTCATACTGCATTTATATTTTTATTTAGAAGCCAATGTTTATCACAGACTTGTCTCACCATTCAAATTACACAGTTTAATCTGTATATTTAGAATTTCTTTACTATGCTATACATTGAATACTTAAACAGATTCATATATTTTCAGTTACTAAAACCACAGGAATCTCTATTGCAGTCTTACCAAAGTGTGTTAAAATAGACAGTCATTGTCCCCATCCTTGCAAAAAATTGTAATAGCTGATATTTTCACCTCAGAGACTCTTTCAGGGAAACTGAAAATTTTGCAATTTCCTTTTAATTATCATATAAATTAGCTATGCTTCTGGGAAGGGTGGAGTTGGAGAGTAAATGGTAAAGGTTTTGGTTATTTCACTCAGTTGTTAATATTTTAATGTTAGCTGCCATCTGTAGAAGAAAATGAGAGTGTTAAAATTCCTGCATAGTCAAATGCCTCAGGGACAGGTCAGGAAATAAAAATTGAGGCGATATTTAGCCATTGCAGGGCCATGCTATAAATTACAAAATATTAAACGGCACAATCTTCTTTGTGGCAAGGCAAGACTAAAATGAAGGCAACAAAAGCCTACTTTAGCATCTCATACTGCAAGCAGGGACATAAACTTTTTCATAAAGTGTCATCAACTTTATTGAAAAGTTACCATCCTTGCAGGTTGTAGCACCTAAATTACAATTTTCAGTACCTCATTTTAGAATAACCTGAACAGGGGGTTGGGGAGCTGGATATATTCCTCACTCAAAAACTTCAAAAAAGAAATAAAATAGAGTCTATTTTTTAACAAAACACATAGTGGAAAAAGGATCTTCCTCAGTTTCCTATGATCAACAACAAACTCCATGTACAATTTGAGGCCCAACATTAATTTTGATTTATGAGTGTGAGGAATTTTCCAACTACACACTTGGGGTGCTTTTGCTTTTTTTTTTTCTTAATTTTTGCATTGCACAGCTGGTTAAAGCAATAGCAATGCTCCAGTCCCCCAGGGAAAGGTAAAAGGACAGCTTTGTGCCTTAAAGAAATTATAAAACTTAGGGTTTTTTCTCCTTATTCTGCCTCTCTCCACATTTTTTTGTAGAAATTTCTTCCTCCAGCATCCTCTGAAACCCTTTGAGGCAACTGAAGGCTGAAAAAGGGAAGAAATAGAAAAAAAAATAGAGACAAAAAGGATTAGGAAAATTTAAAAGGGATGATGGGAAAAAGAAATAGGCAGGTCTGTCCTGTCAACACATCAACAAAAATATGAAGGTTTGTAGTTCTAGAGCAGAAAATGGTATCCAGTTCCTGCTGGAAGCTGATGGCAAGTTTGGAGTGGAGAGCTGTGCTAGTGAAAAGTCAGTTTTCAGAGAGACAAGGGAGGAGAAAAAAGAACAAATTTAAAGAGATTTCTTTTTTCCTGCGGATTTGTGAATTCTCTGGGAAGGCTGCTATTTCCTTTCCCTTTTGAAGCTGTTAAATTGCACAGAGAATGGCAGGAGCTGGCGTTCAGATGTCACGTCACCAAAACTCAGCAGTCTGCAAAGCAGGATCCCTCTCAGGACTGTCAGTGTGGGATTTAGCCCACCACACACAAACATCTACATGGAAAATGTGTGTCCCTGAGCCATGTTATCTTCTCATTACAAAACAAGAGAAACAGACATTTCTATCATGTGATTTTTTGTTTTCACGAGTGTGACACTTCAGTTTGGTTAGAGAAATCATTCCCTAAAATCATGTGTGTTTATCCATCTGGTGTCAAGCAAGGCTGGGCTGAAGAACTTCACACATAGGTATTAGCAGTGAAGACATGGAATATCAGGAGAGATGAATCCAGGTTTTGTGCATAATTCTGAGGGCTCATGGTTCCCTTCATGAAGAAAGGATCTCCTGACTCCCCTCGAAGCATTGTGAGGGACAAGATTTCCTGATTTCCTTTCTGGCCCCTGTGGGAAGGCTCTTGTACCAATAAAATTCTTATGGAAAACCACATTACTCCTGAGAAAAAGACACTATGGAGAACAGAGTAGTGAGCCTCAGCCTGCCTGAGTTTATGTCAATAACTTTATCAGTAATCCCCTAATGAATGCCGTGGAGAAAGATTTTGTCTCCCGTATCATGTTCCACAGCTACCCCAATTGCACAGATTTTGGTAATGGCTGCAGGTGATTTGAACTGACAGGTTTAGAGGCACTGATACTTTGTGAAACCAGGACTTTCCTTTTAAAAGTGTAATTTGATTGTGTAATCCAAAGACAGCTGGAAGATATTGAATTTCCTTGCTACTTTAGAATGAACTATGAGGCCATGTGGTGGCCTCAAGCCACTGTCATTGCTTGAAAAACAAACAAAAAAAAAAGAAGTCCAATTCCCCCAAAATTTGGAATGTGTTGTGGTTATTTGTAACAGGTGTTTGTTTCCTTAGCAGGAACTTTTAGGAAATGGTTTTACTTTAAGAGAATCTTTTGAGGAATGCAGTGGAGAGCAATGAACAGTGGCAGGAACATCTGATGAGCTGTCCATAATCCCCATTCCCTGTTTCCCTGCACTGCTGTGAGGGAGAAGGGAGAGCTGGGAAGGAGGGAAAGGTGGGGGGAAGGTGTTTTTAAGGGTTTATTTCACTTCTCATTATCCTGATGTGATTTGGCTGGTACAAAAAAGTACAATTAATATCCCCAAGCTGAGTGTGTGCTGCCCATGATGGTATTTGGTGAGTGATCTCTCCCTGTCCTCATCTCAACCCATGAACTTTTGCTGTGTTTTCTCTCCCCTGTCCAACTGTGGAGGGAAATGATAGAAAGGCTTTGATAGGTGTGGAGCATCCATCCAAGGTCCACCCACTACACCATCCCTCATGGACAACCACTGATTAAATAATTAATGAACTAATTAAATTTAAACTAACTTAAAAATTAATTAAATTGTTCCTTTTTTAATGAGAAGACCCTCCATGAAAGACCCCCTTCTCTTTAGGTTTCTTCACTTCCAAGCAGAAAACCCAATCCAAGCCAGAGCCTTTGCATGCAGAAAACCATTTGTTTGCAGAGAATAATTCCTCCCCGGTGTTTGTCACATATTTATTTTGTCTCAGCACCATAAAAAGGGGTCTTGTTGCTGACTCAGAAGGAGCTCATTACAGAAAGACTTCACCTTTCAGCTGCAAAGGATGTTTCCTTGAAATGATAATGTAATGAGTGTTAGATCAGCCGTATGTAGCCGTTAGGCGATTCTTTTGATCGGCTGGAAATGCATTTGTTAAAAAGCTACTTTATTGATTTCCTGGCTGGTTTTTTGTACTGTTTGGATCATCTGTACACACACACACATCACATCACATTTTCTACCACTTCAAAGCTGTTAATAAATTCACACTACTCAGGAGATTGAGCACGAAATGGAGTGAACTCTTTCTGTGGAGAACGATATTGTTCCAACTTTGATGGAAGGAGTCTTAGCAGCATGCTGAGTGTCTCCTTTAAAATATTTTTAAAACTATCTGCCACAAAGAGAGCAGAGTATGCTAAAGCAAAGGAATATTGCTCCTGGGGATAAAAACATAGTGAGGGGTTGTGATTAAGCTTTGAGTAAGTCCAGAGAAGAAAATACCGCTGAGCTTGTAGAGGCTCAGTGTAGATCTTCTTCCCTGCTAACCTGCCCACATTTACATTTCCTACTTCATTGTTTTTATGATGTATTTGCAGTAAAAGTTTAGACACGCTGAGAGTTAAAGTGAAATGTGCTTCTACTGCTAGTACGATGCAAAATACCTCTAGTTAAATCACAGAATCAGAATCCCAGAATCCCAGAGGTCAGAAAACACTTCCAAGACCATCAAGCCCAATCTGTGACCCATTCCCACCTTGTCCCCAGCCCAGAGCCCTGAGTGCCACGTCCAGCCCTTCCTTGGACACTCCAGGGATGGGCACTGCAAAGCTCCCTGGGCAGCCCCTGCCAAGGCCTGAGCACCTTTTCCATGAGGAAATGTCCTGGGCTTTGTTGGCTTTGAATCTCTCGCAGTTCCAGAAGTAGGTGATTGTGTTTAAGTGTGTTTTGTTTATTAGTTTTAAGATACTTTATCGTTTTATTTTTTCTTTCATTATGGCTTCAGTTTTGTTTGCTAACCTGCTGATATTCTTTTGGGATCACAGATCTGGGGAGCTCTTCTTGAATTATTTAGAAGGGTCTTGTGACTGAAGCTCTTATGGAACTGTTCTAACTTCTGTGTTGGAATTCATCATTGGTTCTCTGGCTAAGGACATTCACACATCATTTCCTCCCTCTGAGTATAGTTACTAACCTGTATTTCATACCAAGGTGATGCCAGCATTATCAGGAAACATTTACACCTATATGAAATAAAATCTACAATTTGCTGATGTATTTACGAGGCCATTCAAATGATCATGCTGCTTAATTAAGGGCTTGGCTTTGGCTGAGTCCAGGGTGCATTATCAAATCACAAGATGTTGTCCTGACATGAATTTTAAAGGTTTTTTTCAGGTGTTTAAATTAAAATGCCCAAAATAAAGCTTTCCAGTCCTGTGAAATTCTTGCAGATTTCAGGTATACTCTATCTATAAAATAGGGATAATAGACTTCCTTGCCTCTCAAAAGGATTGTGAAAATAAATATATTAAAGATTGCAAAGAACTGGAGTATTATGGTAATTGATACCATATGCCCAACTAAGATAGCTGGGGACAATTTCTGAAGAGGCAGGAGTTTTATTCACAGATTCCCAGAATCATTAATGGAGTAAAGGACCTTTCAAATTCTCCTGGTCCAGCTCCCCACAAGGAGCAGGGCTAATAAATCTTCCCCTTCTCAATCTGAATGTATGAATAGTAGGTATCTGA